AAATTGTCTAAATTCATTCTAGTAAATTTCCATAATTCAGGAATTTCTGGAAAATTACAGTCTCTTCCTATCCATCCCCTATTTGGCAATATCAATAGTATGCGTCAACAATGAACAAACTAAAAAATTCCCCCCAAAAATAATAGTCTATTTTTATAAATATATCCTTTATATAACATATTTTCTATTATGCAATAAAAGAAAATTACATTTTTGACTCCAGTGTATAATCTTATAGTAAGAATTTAAGTATCAATTTTGGTATCAACTCCAAAAGTTAAATTAATATACAAAAATACTTTTTTAATTCTTTAAACTACTTTCATGTTTAAGTGAAATTAATTTAAGGAGAATCACAATTTATTAGACGACTTTAAAAAAAAAATCATTCGTCCAACAAATTTTTTGTTCCCGAGTTGCGCAAAAAGGCTCTTTCGAAACACATCCTTTAATCTCAAAAATTTTCGCAATCTCAAACACTACACTTCGCGATCCTTTCAAAAATTGTTTTTGGAGAGCCAAGACATGTTCAAATAAATAACATCTAAACCAATTAACGCCGAAAAACACAAGGAAATGACAGCTAAATCTTCTTTAGAGTCAAACGCGAACGAAAGCAACTTATTAGAGCCGACAGAACAACTGCGTGTTGTTTTCTCCTCGGAGCGCATCCGTATCGTGTTTTGATTCCAGCTCTCTGGGATCAAATTTTTCGTTTTCTAGTTTTGTTTTCTGTTCTCAAGAGTTTCCCTCCTTAAAAAGGATGCCAGGCGTAAAAACCGCCTCCTCAGCTCGGGAGGGCTTTCGCGGGCCGAGCCGCGGACACAACTTTTCGGTGTCCCGCCCAACAGCGAAGCCGACGGGCGGAGATACAGAATCACGTGGTATCACGTGTCCGGCGCCGCATCTTCCACCACAACCACACCTGTGCTTCTGTGTCACTTGCTAGACTTGGCTATTTATCGCCAATTCGATGATTTTTTTCAAATATTTGAACAAGTTTTCATTTTTCTCTTTTGAAATTTAGTTTTTAGAGGAGATTCTCTGTAAATTAGATAAACTGTTGAGATTGCTTTAAGAATTACAGTTGTCTTCGTGACTTGATTAACGTATTCACAAACATACTTTTAGGATAACTAATGATTAATGTAGGTGACTGAATTAATCAGATGTTCTTCTAATTTAAAGTATTTATTTGCATGCAAAATTTAAGTAGATTTTTTAAGGTGAATCACTGACTTATATTTGTTTTAAAAAATCAAAATATGATAGGAGAAAAAAATGAAGAAAAAATTGAAATGTAATTTTCTTCATATCGTTGTCAGATTTTTAATAGTAACAGATTTATTAACGATTTAACTTTTAATTTAAAAACGGAGGGGCGTAAATTTAAAAGATTAAAAGATTAGCAAACATTTCATTTTTTTATTTAGTGGGACTAATTTATCTAGAAAAATAAACTACCATGGAACTAAAAACATAAGAGCAAATAACGTTATATTAAGGAAAACGCACTCGAAAAATATGAATGTTGAACTAAATATGTGAATTAATGCTTGAATAACGATCATTAATAGTTATTGTTAAATTTCACCATAATATTTATTACGAAACTAATAATTGTGTAATTGTTATACAAATTATTATACGAAACTAATATTTTTTTAAAGAGAAAAAGAAAAATTATCAATAAATAAAATATTTTTAAAAAAGTAATATATATAT